CTCTTCCCCACGTGCAGAGCCTGTTATTCACCCATCCAGTTATTTATCCATCCCGTTGGAAACCTCTGTTATTCAACCCTCCACTGCCTCCAGTTTGAAACCCCTGTTATTCACCCCTCCAGTTGGAAACCCCTGCTATTCGCCCAGCCAGTTGGGAACCCCTGCTATTCACCCAGCCAGTAGTGCACAGCCTGTTATTCACAACATTCATCGTGGCAATAAACAGCACAACCGGGTGCCGCCAGGTTCGTGGCGGCAGTCCAGCACGACTGGGTGCCACACTGTACCACATTCATGGCAGTAATGCAGCATGACGGAGGGGATCGGGCGATAGCACCATGATACCTCCCTCCCTCCCTCCCTCCCTCCCTCCCTCCCTCCCTCCCTCACACGCTTTGAGTCTGGCCAGAACCCATTCCAGGCGAGGTACTGCCTCACCCAGATCCGTACAAAGCCAACGAAGAACCTCCCGACCACCAGTTCACGGTAGTACTGCAGCCTGAGTGGGCTCTCAACATTCATGGTCGTCAGGCGTCAGGTGATACCTCACAAGCCCTCGCCTAAATCAGGTGAACGGCCGCCTCTCCACCTTAATCAGGTGTGTAGAGCTTAATGTAGATGTGAACGGTGGTAATACAGCCAGCCAATGAGCAGGTGCCACGCTCATGGCAGAAATGCGGTGCGGTGCACGACTTAGGATCAGGTGATGTACCTCCACACATGGTGGAGACACACACGCTCACCTGATTTAGGGCACAGAGAGCTCTCTGTGCCCTAAATCAGGTGAGCGTGTGCGTCTCCACCATGTGTAGAGCGAAATGTACAAGTGGAAACACCAGGTACTGTTGTCGACAGCTTTAATGGTGATGGTGCACAGCACAAGTGGAAACGCCATCAGGGGAGTACCTCACGAGCTCCGGGCCTTATTCGGAAGACTGGTGGCTGAGGCGGATGCAGTTTTTTTGCGAGCGCAGCCGCTACATGTAGAACACACTGGGGTCTTCAACAATGTCCAGATGCTAGCTAAGGGGTATCATATCAATGCTAAGGGGTATTAAGTCAATGCTAAGGGGTATTAAATCAGCGCTACTGGTGTGTGGCCCTAAGTCCAGTGCGGCAGAGTCATAGTGGAGATTACTACATGCTGAGGACCTGGGAGCTAAGGGGTATCATATCAATGCTAAGGCGTATTAAATCAATGCTAAGGGGTATCATATCAATGCTAAGGGGTATTAAATCAATGCTAAGGGATATCATATCAATGCTAAAGGGTATTAAATCAATGCTAAGGGGCATCATATCAAATGCTAAAGTCGCCGTGTCTGCGGCTAGTTCAGCCCGTCCTCGCATGGACACTTCAAAATGAAAACATAAAAAAAAAAAACACAAAGAAGAAAGGCATGGACCCCAAAAATATAAAGAAGAAAGATGTGGGCCTTTCCCTCATCAACTCCACATGATCTTCGCTTTGCACAACACCGTTCTACAAATTATTATTGTCTACCGCGTGGGCGCGGGGAACGCAGCCCTAAGGTAGCCAAATCAATGAGACCGAGAGAGAGAGAGAGAGAGAGAGAGAGAGAGAGAGAGAGAGAGAGAGAGAGTTTTGTTCCATTTGTTGTTATGAGTGTGAGAGAGAGACAGAGACTGAGGGCCTCGTTAGACACTCCTAAAAGAATCTTAAATTTTTTAGGACGAGTCCTAAAGGTTTTTTACGATTTCGTTCAGTGTGGTTGCATGCAATCCTCAAAAACAACTTTTAGGACTCGTCCTAAAAGTTGTCCCGCGGCCTGTTTGTATATTCGTATACGCAGCCGCCTCGTCGATGTCCGTCCCGCCGTGGGTGGTGTCCGTGGTACACAGCGCTGCAGACCGTCGCCGTGCGGGTCCCTTCGGTGGGAAGCGCGCATAAGCTGGAGGAGTTCGAAATTCGAATTTTGAATTTTGCTGGCGGCGCGGCGGCCTTCTGCATGCGTGGGGCGCACGAAATGTCTATCCGCAAATGGACTGTATTTACGTGCACGAAGATGGTGCAGACGTCATTCCGGCGCGGGCAGACGGCTGGTGAGTGGGCGGGCAGTGCTCGTGCGTCGGTCGGCTGCGCAGGAGTCCCTCCGCCACCGCTGGGAAGTCTTCGTACAACTCCACACGCGGGGCTTCAAGTATTGAGTGGCGGCGAGTGGCGTGTCTTCCTCGTCGTCTCCAGGCGCCGGGCTTCGTCGTGGCTGTTTCGTCGTGGCTGTTCTTCTGCGGTTGGCTTACCGTTGCGCACACGCAGGTGGGGCGAGTCGTGCGTGCCTTGCAACTCATCACCGCCCTTCGGTGGGCGCATGTTGCAGTCCCTGTTGTGCGTTTTAGGAGGGTGTTACGCGGAAGTCGCCGCGGTTACGAGGGCGCAGTCGACGGTTACCTGGAGGCGAGTGCAGGAGAAGAGATGGACGTCCGTGGATGCGGCAGTTTTCTTGACGAAGAGGAGATGGAGGCTGTGGCGACGGCCGTCACCGCCGTCGTGTTGAACAACATGAACCATATGTCATCATCATCACGGGGCATGCGTTTGCAGCTTCGTAAAAGGAGACTGCTTTTGCAGAGGGTCATGGAAGCGTCGGATTGCGTCGCCACTTGCCAAGCAGTCGTTCAGATGTGTTCCGCCCTGTCGTGTGGCGTGTTTCCGTGGGCGACGCCCAGGTGGTGGATTAAACGTCGGACAGGTGGCACGTGGGAGGATTTGAGACAGTCTGATGACGCCACTGCGGACTACTACCGGGACAAGTTGCGCATGTCTAGGGCGTTGTTCAACCAGATAGTTGCCGCTTGTGCAGCGCACGTTGAAAAAAAGGTGACGCACTACAGGACGCCTATTCCTCCTGAACAGGTGATTGCTTTTGCGTTGTATAGATGGGCGTCTGGCGAAAAGTACGAGTGCCGAACGTCGGCCTTCGGTATCGGGAGGGCGACTGGGCTGCAAGTCGTCCGTGATGTGACCTCTGCGCTGCTCAAGGCGTATCCGGACGCCATCAAGTGGCCTGTTGGGCGGAGATGTGCGCAGATCCTCCGCGGTTTCCGGGAGAAGGGGTTCCCGAACTGCTTCGGCGCCATAGACTGCAGTCACTGCACGCATATCTTTATTGACAAGCCGTCCAACGCACCATCCGAGAACTACTACGACAGGAAGCAGAAGTTCTCTGTCCAGGCGCAGGTCGTCGTCGATCTTGACCTGCGTGTCATTGACGTGCACGTCGGATATCCGGGGAGCGTCCACGATGTGCGCGTTCTATACAATTCGCAACTATGGAGGCGTGCGGAACAAGGTGAGTTTTTTTATGCGCCCTCGGAGAATCTTCTACATGGCGTTGTGACACGCGGTTACTTGTTGGGTGACAACGGGTATCCGGTTGCTTGCCCTTGGATTGTGCAACCGTACGGAGGAATAAACCAATGGCCCGACGAGGAGCGTTTTGACACGCGGCAGAAGGTGGCGCAGGGATGTGAGGAGAGAGCCTTCGGTCGATTGAAGTGCATGTGGCGTCTTTTTCTGCGGACACACAAGACGAACCTGAATACGTTGCCGCAGCAATTCGTCGCCGTCTGCACGCTCCACAACATCCTTCTGGATGCGGGGATTGAATTCGACGACAACCTGTTGTGGGAGGTGGATGAGGACGGTGTTCGGCGCAGAGTGGATTTGGCCATTGTCGGCAATGGCGCGGGCGGGCGGCGGGAATGCACGAACGTGGAAGGCGACTTGCTCAGGGATGCACTTCGAGACCGGCTGGCTTTGATGTAGGATGTCATCGCTTCCTTTGGAGAAGGGTGGAACGAGCGCTGCTGTGCTTGGTGGAAGGCCGTTTTCGGCAGGTGCTTTGAACGAGGAGGTGCATGGTTGGATGGGTGGATGGGATAGCGGGGTTGATGGGTGGCGGGTTGTGGATGTCGCATTGTCATGGGGTGAGTATTTTCCCCCGGTGACGTCATTTGAGTTCGGCTCCTTTTGTTGTGTTTTGTATCGGTCAGCAGTCCATTTCCGTCGTGCGTTCCCGGGACACGTGTCGGCGTTAGGCGGTTCAATAGTTGCTTATATTCCTTTGCTAGACGCTTCGTCGGTTCACTAGACTTCCCGCACGGTAGTTCCTTATATTCGTTTGGTAGATGCTTCGGCGTTAGGCGGTTCAATAGACTTCCAGCAAGGTTGTCTGGCGCTTCTACGTCGCATTGAAGTGCGACGTTCGATCCGGATATTCGTGCGAAATGCGACAAACCTTTTTTTGGTGTAATGCTCACGTGTGGCAAGCTTCATTCCCTCCAACATCATTGTCTTCCCGCTGTGTGGATGATTCCCATTTCATGGATGTCGTATGTGCATGTCTCTCCTGACTTCTATTATTTGGACTTGTTGTCTTATGTCCCTTTGTTGCTCTCAATACTTGCGTAGTGTTTCCCGAAGGATGCGCTCATACAGTTGACATAAGTTTTAAATTCAAGTGATATAGATGTTCGTTTTTCGATGTTTTTCACATGCATGGGTATTCTTTCATATTGTTTGGCGAAAACGATTGTAGTAAAAAAGAGAAAAAACACAATGTGGATGGGCAACCCATTGCAAAAGATAAATAAGCACGTCGACCATTGTCAGCAACCCCGTGAGCAACCCGTTTGCAAAAAAAATTAAAAAAAAACAATTCACGACATTGTTAATCGGAAGAAATTCGCTTCTCATCATTCCACACATGGGTCGAAAACAAAGAAAGTGTATTTGACAAAGTTCAAAAAACGCAGTTACGTATCAGTTTTCGAAAGAGCACTTTAAATTGTGTTGCGCGCAGCACAAAAGCACATCGAACCGAATTATTCCGAACGGTGGAGCCACGGGAAATTTAAAACGCATCGACGTCTCTATGTTGTTTACACGACGTCAATCCTCCTCCCTCGAACTTCGACGCATTCAAGTGGACTGCAAAAACAACACAGGATATCGGAACTGAAAGGAAAAAAAAAAAAAAACGACAATGAAAATGTACTTCGACGACAAAGGGGCTGACATCCATCCGCTGTACACAATGACAGCCTCCACTGTACTCGCACGAACGAACTAGAAAACCTGCCTCGAGCAATCGATCGCCGATCGGCGAAACGAACCATCATCGTCGTCACCAACATCATCATCTTCATCGTCATCATCATCATCGTCATCATCGTCATCATCATCGTCTTCGTCATCATCATCATCATTACCATCATCATCATCATCATCATCATCATCCACGGCGTCATCATCATCATCATCGTCATCATCATCTTCATCATCATCATCGTCGTCATCGCCATCATCGTCATGGGCAGCAGCAGCAGCAGCAGCAACCACCGACTATACGCGAAAACTCCATGGACGGCAAACGCACGACTTATCACCGTCGTCCACCCGGAGTGCTGGCACTCAGCTGTCACCGCCGTCATCATCGTCGTCATCATCGCCGTCATCATCGTCGTCATCCTCGTCGTCGTCGTCGTCGTAGTGGCCCGGAGGGCCACTACCCAACCAATCCAAACCGATCGCCTCCTCCGGCCCGCTCAAACTCGCGTCGTACCAAAACTTCACCCCGCATGAAGCCCATTCGGGGACAAAATGCGGCTCGTGAACCAATGTTACCTGCGCTTTCCCAAGGCGTTCCGTCACGGCGTTCGCTGCGGCCAAGATGTGACGCCGATGATCGAACGAGCGGTGCATGGATGCCACCATCACGGGCTTCACGACGAGGTTGCAGAAGTAGACGGCCTCGTAATGAGACCGCAGGTCGTCCCCCGACATCCGCATAATCCACATAGCCGTCGCCAAAAGGACCTTGAAGCACTCCGCGACACGGCATAGGCGTTCTGTAGTAATGCACCCTCCGTCGACCGAGTTCCCTGTCTCCACTGCAGCACTGAAAGCACCAATCAGCCGCATTACAACCGCTTCCTGGTATGCGGCCATGTCGGCGTCCCTGGGCCTGTCTTCTATGTACGCACCAGCAAACCACAACGGTAGGTCCATCCCGAGTGCGAGTGTGTGTGCGCAAGCCGCGGGACTGACGACGTTCCTCCAATCCTCCCCGTGCCACATGGTGCTCGCAAAATCCGTCGCCACGGATTCGAGGACGTATTGAAAGGCGATGGTGTATCCCCTCTCCCTACAACCGGACTTGAACACCCAACCAGGACACGCATGATGACGTGCTGGCATCTCGCCGCACGGTCAACCGCTCCCCGCAACTGTGCGGAATCGGTCAGCCTCACCACCGTCACGTTCGATCTTGGCATGGCCACACTCCGTGGGACGTTCGGGAGGGAATCACCGTTGGCGATGGCAACGAGGTATTCCCTTGTCTCTTTGACGATGTTAAACAGTCTACGACCCTCTCCACTCATCCAGAACGTCGTGTCGTCCATCCAAACTTTCGCCCGATCCGCCAGTTCCTTCACCACACCACCTTTGTTGCGGACCCTGTGTGCAAGCGGCTCTTCGTCCTCCACCGCCTTCTTTCTCTCCGCGCGGGCGATCTCCAACGCTTTAGCCGCGTCATCGCCCTTGCCCCCCTCCGCTCCCCCCCCCCCACATCCTTCGGCAGTGCCGCCCACGGCGGCAGCGATCTTGGCAGCGCCCACGTGAACCGCATTTGCGGCAACAACGGCTTCGGCCGCACCGCCATGTGCGGTCGTGCCAGAGCCTGCCTGCTGCTGACGTGGTGCAACCGTAGTGCTGGCGTGACCGGTGCCTGCGCTATTTCTCCCTTGAGGCATGGCGAGCGAAGTACTCAACGGTCCAGATTGGACATGGTCTTTCCGCGCGACGTCGTCGTGATCATGTCCGTCCATACCTCCACCCCACCCATCGCCCTCCAACTGCATCCCACTCACCGAAGCTGCGTCATGACGCGCACGTTTATGCTTCGGAAAACGACGCCCTCCACCTGTCCCACCCGCTGTGTCTGCGTCCGCGGCTTCACGTTTCCGTCCACGCGTCCGGCCACTGCCTCCTCCCCTTGGAGGCATTGCAGAAGTGAGGAGGGAGAGAAGATCTGCAAAAGCGCGTGTGAACACGACCCGCCCATCTGCAAGAGCGAGCGCTGACGACGTGCAACGGATGTCTGGCGCGTCTGCTCGAGCTCCTCTAGACTCTCCAAGACAACTTTCGCGCACTGTGGATCATGCATTAGTGGTGAGCAGGGGGTGGCCTTTATAACTTTTACGATGCAAAAAAGGATTGTTGGTTGGTCGACGTCAACACCCGCGGATACATCCCGTGAAACTTCACCCTCAACCCGGCCACGCCATCCACACTGACCATGACGAAAAAAACCGACCCTTGAAGTCCAAAATGGAAGCCCGCACGTCGCACCCCGACATCAAGGATGAAAAGCACATCAGTCAGAAACTGAAAATCAAAAAAAAAATTCTTCCGACCACCGCCCGCTTTCAACCATCCAGGTCGGCCACTCCCCCCACTGGCCGACACCATCCCC